AGCCCCAGCTCATCACCCTCCTCCCTACCCCTCCCACCCTCCTCCTCCCTCTCCACCCCCAGGCCTGCACAGGGAATGAGCTTGGGCTGTTATCCCCCGTTACCCGAAACCTACCTTCTCAACACTTGTGTTTCTGGTCTCCTGAACTCCCTGTCAGTATAGACACGGATGCACAGTGTAGTCATGAACACAGCCTTGCTTTTTTATTTAAAGACTCTACCTCATTATGATTATTATAAAATATCATAGCATTTAATGGTAAGTGAAAATCTGTTAAACAATACAACATAAAAATTGATTTTACCATTTAATGCCTCTGTGGGGGTTATAGACCAACATTACATCTTAATCTTTTTTTGGATGTGTTTTATCTAAGGCTTTTTCTACATTTTTTTTTTTTTTTGATGCATAAAAGAAAGAAGCCAGACTTAGATTGAATAAACCACACAAATCTAAGAGTATAATTAGCCGAATTTTTACATATGTACACACTCTCGTTTCCATCCGGCTCAACATACAGATTCTTTCCAGCCCCCCACAAGTGGGTTTCTGGTGCTGTTTGCAGTCTACACAATCCTCTGGGGACCACCGTTCCCTCTCTGTCCATACAGATCTATCTGTATCGTCAGCTTTTCTCCATCTACCAGCAGAAGCAGACATCACATATACTTCAGTATCTGGCTTCTTTCAGTATGGGTTTTCTCCTTTATCCGGATAAATAGTTGATTTTTGGTTTTGGTATTGTTTTTGCTGTTACAATAGCACAGTCGCCCTGGGTATCCGCTGGTTCCGCACAGACATGTCCAACCAGCTGCGGATGGGGAATGCGGTATCCATGCGGACATTGGGAATGTGCGGTATCCATGGGGATACTGGGAATGTGATACCTTCCCAGTATCCCCAGAGTAGGGAGGACCAGCTTTCTGCATCCACGGTTCTGCAGGGCCAACTTCGGGACGAGAGCATCCAAGCCCCCGCATGTACTGAGGAACAGTTTTATTCCACGTGGGAATATATCTCTGGTTATTTCTTCACTCTAAAGACGGTGATATTATTTAGCCATAAAAAAAGAGGACAATCCTGCCATTTGTGACAACATAGGTAAACCTGGGGGCCACCAAGTGAAATAAGTTTCCAACTCTGCAGACACATATACCACTCCTCCACCTCGTCTGTTATTACCGTTCTATATTTTACATCTGTAAATGTTACCCAGATCCCATGACGTTATGACTACTTTGATTTAAACAGTGACTATTGTTTAAAAATTATATACATAGTTGTGATTCTTTCATCCTATTCTAGATACTTATCAGAAATAATTTTCTTTTAGCCTGAAGAACTTACTTTGGTATTTTTTTATAGTACAAGTCTACTGGAATTCAACTTTGTTAGTTTTTTTTAACATGAAATATTATTTCAATGTAATTTTTGAAAGACACTTTGTCTGGGTATGGAATTCTGGGTTGTAAAGATATCACTCCCTGGTCTTCTGTGATATCATTTCTTGCGTCATGGCATCTTCTTCATTATTGTCACTCCATTGAAAGTAACTATTTGTATTTTTTATATACCTGGCTGTTTTTAAAATCTTCTTATTGCCTTTTGACAATAAGCCCTTACTATTGAATGGAGTGAAGGACTGAGCGGGGTGAAGAGTGCTGCTGGTGGGTCAGACGGAGCTGCGTTCTGTCCCCGTCTCTCCAGTAAAAGGGTTTTACATTCTGTGGTGGTACAGGAAGGCCTGTGTGGCCTCTTCCTCTGTCCCATCTCCTACCCCTGGAATTCTGAGTGAGACCGTGATCAATCCAGTGATTCTGGACCAAACCTCGAATGAATGTAAGCAATGAATTCAATCGTCTTTTCTAGTGGCTATAAGGGACTCTACATCCAAATGTACTAAATAGAAACCAAGTCGGTTCTACCTCCTTGGGTATCTAAAAATCAACAACTGCTTCTTGAGGACTCTCATCTCTCAGGTTGTTCGCGTAGGGGGAATGAAGAGACGCTTGGAGAGGATCTCGTATGAGATGTCCTCTGGAACATAAGGTCCTTGCTGTGAGAGTAACAGGTACCATTCTGCTCAAGGAGACAACAGAAGGATGGGCACTGGAGGGGGCAAACAAATCAGAGCTCCAAGAGGATGCCCTGCTGTTCGTGCCGCAGAGAGTGGTCGTCCAAGTCCTGCAACGGGGGCGTGACCATCAGTTCAATTTGAAGAGGTCATGTCCTCTCCCCCAGGGACGTGCGACCTCCTATACCTCGATGCTCCCCTTCACCCTGGTTCCCCAGGACCTCAGAAGCAGCCTCACTGTTCAGGTGCCATTTCCTGGAGCTGAGACAACAACAGAGAAAACCGCACTGCTTAGCACAGCCTGTGAGTCAGTGACATGGCAGAATTTCAGTGCCCTGATGAGGCAAGGCCTGTTGGCCGGGGAATGGATCTCTCACCAAACACCAGAGTCCACAGTTTTCAGCCTAGGCCAGGGCAGCAGGTAAAGGCTACAAGGAGCTTGTAAATTCATTTGGACCTGAACATCCTGAAGCTCCACCTTGCCAGAAGCACATCTCCTTTCTCAGCAAGAATGAATGTCAGGAGTGGGCAGCAGATTACCTGGGTCCTGGGAGAGCTTTGAGTAGTTGTAGTGGAGCTTGAGCTTTGATCTTGGCATACGCTGCTCGCTGGCCCTTCCCCCTTCACATCTTTACTCTGTGTCTCCTGACCTTGAGCACTACCCTGCTGGGGTGAGGAAACCCTCTGGGAACCAGCTTCCTCCCACCTATAACCTTGCCCTGATCCACTCCAGGTGACCTAGCCCTGTCACATCCATGGAGCACAGACTTCCTCTCTGACAATCTCAACCTCCACCTCCACGATAACTCCGTGTTCCCTCAAGATTCTAATACTACCCATTTGAGAAGAGCTGGGGATCCAGGATGAGCTCTCCTGCCCCTCCTCCTCTTCCTCCTCCTCCTCCCCAATCCTCCTCGGGATCCAGGGGTCAGTTAGGGATGTCACTATGAACACTTCCCAGTCTCACCCGCACCTCACTCTGAGTGCCCTTGGGCTCATAGTTCTTCACCACCCTGTTCCATGTTCCAGCTCCACTCCCCGTACGGCCCCCACTTACAGTCTGGGCCTCCAACCCCGCCACCCACGGCTCAGAAAATAAATATCTTCTTTGTTCTGAGAGTCTGCATGTGCATCTGTCTCCAGAGCACCAAAGAGAAGCTGCTGACCTCTGGTGTTGCACAGGAATCACCCCTAAACCAGTACCATTTTCTTCCTTTCCTGAAGACAGCCCACCTGCCAAGGGGACCAGACATGGGTCTGACAGTAACATATTCATTGTATATGAATGTCTTCGACTTACTAGATAACAACGGGAGCAACTTATGTTTCTTTGGTGTTCCACTTCTTCACCAGCACTTGACATCTTCAGACGTGTAAAATCTTCCAATGTGAAGAGTATGCAGTAGTGTTTGCTAATGGTTTGAACTTAAATTGACCTAGTTACTCAGGAGGTTGAGAACTTCTTTATTGAATTTATTGGACAACTGGATATTATTTCTATGAGGGATTGCTTTAAATCTTTGGTCCCTTTTATGTCTTTCACCAAGTTTGGGCGGTTTGGGACATTATTTATTCAAGTATTTTTTCTGTCCCATTCTATCTTTCTTCTTCCTTTGGGATTCCAATTACATGTATGTAGGTCCTTTTTGTCTCAGTTTCCTGACTCTTTGCTCTCATTTTTTTTCTCTTTTCTTTTCATTGGATAACTTTTATTGATCTGGTTCCTTCACTCTACTGCTTCCTGCTATTAAGCTCATCCAGTTAATTTTTTAATTTCAGATACTGTAATGTGTTTTTTCTTTTTGGAATTTTCATTTGCTCTTTTTAATTAACATTTTCTTTTTTTTTTTTTTTCAAGACAGAATCTCACTCTTTTGCCCAGGCGAGAGTGCTGTGGTGTCAGCCTAGCTCACAGCAACCTCAAATTCCTGGGCTCAAGAGATCCTCCTGCCTCAGCCTCCCCAGTAGCTGGGACTACAGGCATGCGCCACCATGCCCAGATAATTTTTTCTATGTATTTTTAGTTGTTCAGCTAATTTTTTTCTATTTTTAGTAGAGATGGGTTCTCGCTTTTGCTCAGGCTGGTCTCGAACTCCTGAGCTCAGACAATCCCCCCTCCTTGGCCTCCCAGAATAAACATTTTCTATATCACTACTCAGGTTTCCTATATTGTTATTAATTATGACTATATTTTACTTTACCTCCTTGAGCATAGTTATAGCAGCTGCTTCAAAATTCTTGTCTGTTATTTCCATCACCTTGGTCATCACAGCATTAGCCTCTGTTTATTGTTTTTCACTTTTCCCCTTTTCTGTGTGTTGTGACCTTCACAATAGGTCCCATTTTCCTGTTTTTTTCATATGTTGGGTAGTTTTTCATTGAATCCTAAATGTTGTTAATGTTATGTTGTGGAATCCCTGCAGTAAGTTTTATTGCTCCAAAAAGTTTTGTTTTTTTTTTTTTTTTTTTAAGCAGACAAATAATTTTGTTCAAGCCAAATTGCAAACAATTCTTTGCCTGTAGTGGGCAAGAGCTTAAGTCTCGTTAAACTCTCTCATCTTTACCTGCAGTGCTTGTGGTATGCTCTGCACATGCACAGTTCTCAGGTCAGAGACATGGGAAGAGTTTATACTCGGAAGCTGGAGGTCCTCTTCTCTGGCTCTTCCCTTCCAGAATTCTCTCCTCATGCCCCAGTGTTCCTAGTTGCCCTTAACTTCATTCATGGTTCCTCAGTCCAGAGAGATGGAAGGGTTTCTCTTAGAGTTTTAGCAGCCCTGCTGTGTACTTCGGCTCTGGCCTATCACTGGGACAAAGGTATTTATTTCTTGTTGGTCCCTTCCCCCAAATTTTGACTCCCCTCCAAAATCTACTTTCTTTTTTCACATGTCTGTTTTTTTTCCTCAAAGATTATAACTTATAAGGATTGTCTTTTGTTTTGTCATGCTATAGGAGGTTCACTCTGGTAGGAGCCTACTCCTTCATAATAGAAGCACAACTCCCACTATTTCATTTTGAAGGATAATTTTCCAACGTTTGGAATTTTAGCTTTGTGAGTTTTTTTCTTTTCATATTTTAGAGATGTTATTCCACTGTTTTTTGGGGGGCGTTCAAGTTTCTTGTGACAAGTCAGTTATCAGTTTCTAATTGCTGCTTTTATACTTTTTTTTTAGCAATAAAGTATTTGTTAAATAAAGTATGTACTTATTTTTAGATGTAATGCTATTGCCCACTTAATAGACTATAGTATAGCATAAGCATAACTTTTACAAGTAATGGGAAACCAAAAAATTTGTATGACTTACTTTACTGAAATAACTTTACTTTGCTTTATTTATTTATTTTTTATTTCTATATAGACAGGGTCTTGCTCTGTTACCCAGTAGCTCACTGCAGCCTCAAACTCCTGGGTTCAAGTGATTCTCGCACTTCAGCTCCCTGAGTGGCTGGGATTTGCAGTATCTGCTTTATTGTGATGGGCTGGAACCAAACCCATGATATCCGCGAGGTATGCCTGTTTTACAGTGAGCCAAAAGAGCCTTACGTAACAACTTAAGTCCCTGGTTAAAATAAAATCACTTCCACTCAACCTTTCACAAAATACATTAGAGAGCAAGTTCCTTTTTTTCCTTCTTTGCTATTTAGTTACTTATTTAAACACCACTCATTTGTTTTAGAGAGAATTATATT